CCCCCATTACAATTAGTACTTGTTTTAGATGTTTTAGGTACCATCGTTAACATTTGGGAAGGCAGTTTTAACGAAATTTGATCTCATCCCCTAAACCATGTAAAATTGCCCTGGACACCTTAGTTTAGGTCCAAACATAAGCTGTAACAAATTCTCGAATCCCTGTGCTACAACGTGAAGAGTAACGTAGTGGGGCCGATTTTAACGATGCATAGTATTAAGGGCGCCTTCTGCTAGAGGGTATTTCCCTTTATCTCAGTGGTAGACCGACCGACTAGGAACCTAGGGATGGTGGGTTCGATTCCAAGTGGAAGCACACTATTCTCTTTCCTGTTACAAATGGTGTCCGTGGCCCTCCCTGTGGTGACAAGGTGTTAGTACCTGGGTTATGGTGTTCGAAGGTGAACACATTTAAGAAGGGGAGAGTAGTGTGGCAGATTTCAATTGTACATATGATTAAAACGGCTTCTAGCTTCGAGCTAGAGGGTATTTCCCTGAAGCTCAGTGGAAGAGCGCCCGACAAGGAACCTAGGGATCGCGGGTTCGATCCCCGGTTGAAATACACTTCTCTCTTTCTTGTTACATTATTATTTAGCTTTAAGTCAAATCCTGAAAAATTCAGATCGAAAATAACACGGAACCTTGCTTCGTAACGTCAGAAATATAATATACTTTCTTTGCATCATACTTCTGATGAATCAAAGTTGAGTGCACATATATACCAGAAAGCCACAGTGGGAGTGAGTTGGTTGCCACAATAAATCTCTTCTGACATCGAGGCTACAAGGGGGAATAACTCGGTGTAAAACAAAAGAAAACGCCTAACAGATAATCCAGTTATAGAACATTTAAGCTTACATACTTATCCTTGATCAATTAAGCGTTATAATCCCCAGTCGCTATATGCGTCACGTGTTTCATACATTATAATACAATAGAGCTTACTTATAAAACACATTTATGTAATGTACATGTATGTTAGGATACAGTTAACCAAGTGTAAAATAGCGGGATCATTCTAAAGCATTTATATAATGTACATGTATGTTAGGGTACAGTTAACTAAGTGTAAAATAGCGGGATCATTCTAAATCACTTATGTAATGTACATGTATGTTAGGCTACAGTTATAATTAACTAAGTGTAAAATAGCGGGATCATTCTAAATCACTTATGTAATGTACATGTATGTTAGGGTACAGTTAACTAAGTGTAAAATAGCGGGATCATTCTAAATCATTCTAAAATATTCTAAATCCAAATGTATCATGCTTCAATAACATGGTTGAGTTAAAAATTTATTTAGTGATATTTCAATTGTTAAAATAAAAAAAAAATATAAAAAAAAAGTTAAAGGAAATATAGTAATTTCATTCCAATTTTATAGATAAAATACTCGTAGTTTTGATTTCTTGAATACTTCATTTGTTTTTTGTTTAAAAGCAGAGCTATAAGTTTAAAATTCATTGTCATTTTCCTGTCCCACAATTTGCTGTGAACACGAGGACGAATCAGCTTTAGTTAAGTATAAACATTACTGCATACATTTGAAACAAGTGTTTTTGTCATTTCAGTTATAAGTTTATATTCCTTCTTTCCTCATTTTGTTTTTGTAGTTGACAATTAAAGATTTTCGCAGCAACTTCAAAAATCGCGGGTTCCATTTTTACATAAATGTAAACACCGGGTAATGTTATTATAATTAGAGTATATCCCATTGTATGTCGTGAAAGGTGACTAATGTGGGGACCTTGCCTATCAAAGCCGGGAGATTTCTTCTGTGTCTTCTGGTTAGGGGACGCGGAAGAAACGACGATTGATCTGCTACCCCATTGTAACATATGATGTGGTCTTCATTTTTTCTCTCTGCTTCCTAACAACCTTTTGTTTCCTTGTGCCTTGCTTGGCAATACCTCACTGCTGGCCTTTAATGTTAAGCGTTCGCCAAGGTGAGGAAGGTAATGAATTCTGTCCCTAGGTCGGGACCAAAGTACTTCAAATGGTAGTTGTTATTCCCTGCTTAGCGTTCAGCATTTATAGTAATGGCAACAACTGGTTCATCCGTTGTTAATATAATGGGACTTGGTCGAAAACTTTCCTGTGTACCTTCGGCATGGTATATTATTGAGAAACCACTGCAGGTCGGGGATCAGGAAAAGAATACACCTGCTGGTACCCACTGCATGTATTGTAGGAGGCGACTAATGAGGGAACCCCCGGCAGAATTGGGGATTTGCTTTGGCGTCGTCTATTTGGGGACACAAAAGCGACCAAAATAAATCTGCTGCACTCATTTCAATATTTGGGATCTTTATCTTTTTTTCTACTTCTAAATACCTTTTATTTCCTAGCGTCTTGCTTGGCAATACCTGTCTTTTGGCTTGAATGTTGAGCGTTCGCCCTGGTTAGGAAAGCAATGGGTTCTGTCCCCAGACCGGGACATACCAAAGTCCTTAAAAATGGTAGTTGTTGATCCCTGCGTAATGTTCAACATTTAGGGTAATGGCAACAACAGGTTTACCCGTTGTCAGTATAATGTGACCGGGTGGAATGCTGTGCTGGGTGCCTTCGGCATGGTCTTTCAGTGAGTTAGCACTATAAAGTCGGCATCAGATCCGCACTATCACAAGGAGGCAAGCACACCAACACACCCTGCCTCCATCACACAAACAAACATGCACGCGTACGTTACTCAGTAGGAGGCACGTCCTTCAGTGACGTCAGCTGTTAACAGGAGGTTAAACCTAACACAACCAGAGACGTATATACTATACGATAATGGCTACATTTGTTTTTAATAGAAACAGGAATTGAAAACGTAGTTTGCGAGCTTTCGAAAACGTCTGTTTCCTTTGTCAAGCAAAGAGTGTAAATGACCGATGTCTTGACTCTAAACCGCTAAAAACAACTCACTAAGCCACAGTGTGCCGAATCAGTAAAGTCAGCTGTCAAAATCATAGATACATTTCGCCCAATAGCACTCTTATACTGCAGGAGGTGATTGGGACGGCATGTTTACCCATTCCATCCCTTATTGGATGGTAAAATGGGGTCATAAAGTTGAATCAGCTGCTGGCCCCCTTCGTCTCTATTCATCGAATCCCCTTCCCTCCTAACCCCGATGGATTCTTTTTTCCCCTGACTTTCCAGTTGTCCTCCTTTTCCAAGCACTTTCGAGTTGGTTCAGTCTATGATGTGGTTGTGTGTGTAAGTATGGTCTGTAATGGCTGATTTATTGTATTGTTTCTCCTATGTTTTCCTTTCTAGTGTAGACTTGCTGTTTCATGGATTCAACGTCTTTCTGATGGTCTTTAAGGCGTGTCCTCAATGTCCGGCCAGTTTTCCCGATGTATGTAAGGCTGCAGCCGTGGCATTGGATTTGGTAAACCAGCCCTGCGTTGTCTTCCTTCAGCCATTTGTCTTTCGGATGAACTAAACGTTACTTGACGATGTTGTGTGGTCGCATTGGCGTGCTGATGTGATGTTTGCGCAGCACACTTGAAAGTGCTTCAGACACCCGTTTTATGTGTGGAATAGTGACCAAGCCGGAAGTTGTTCTCTCTGCGTTTGTACTTTTTTGTTTCTTTGGGCCATGTGCATTGTTTTTATTTTCTATTTGTTTTTCTCCTTAGCGACCACTAGGGGTATCCACATGTTATTGGGGCCTGTTTGATGTGTCGCTTTTCAATTTCGATGGTGTGAATTGAAGTTGAGGAACTGGTCTGTGTGAATGTTGTTTTCTGTATACCAGGAATTTGATGGAACCGTAAGTTCTTTGGTCGGCAACATGAACAAATATTGAAAAATAAAATTAATTAAATTCGCAAGAAGATATTAAGGACTCGAATATGGCCATTTCCATGTGTTACAAGTTCTTCATTAGGTCTGTCGTGCATATGTGAACGAATGTTTATTGCTGTCTTGGAATCGTCTGAATAGAGGAGATTCAAAACACATATGGAAAACGATTTGAAAGCTCAAGTGTGAATCCATGGCCGAAGAAACTGTCAAGCTAGGCTTGCTCCCCGATATTGTTAGTCTTCAGTCAAGTTTAAATTTAGGAACCTTGTTCCAGGATCACTTTTATTGTGGAGACCTTAAAAAAAACAAGCCGGAAAGAATTCGGTTCAAAAATTATTCACTCCTACCAAGATCGGAAAATTCATGCATTTACGCCAACATCCAAACAAATCTACCGTTTTATCCGCTATGTAAACTAGGCGTAAAGTATCAATGTTGGAAGTTAGCAATAGTGATCAAGCTGTCTTATGTTTATGTCAAATTCACATCGTGTGGACAGCAAGGCAGCAACGTAAAGATAGCCAGATACAAAGATCTGTATAAATGGTTTCTTAAGTGAATTATAAAGTACTACCAGGCGGATTTAGTTATACTGATATAGAGGAGGAGGGGAGAGTTTATGCTGACAATGTCACCATTACTGTGGCTAAATGTTTGGCTGACAGGCTGTGTATTCAGTACATAAATCACAGAGATGTATGGCCGTCTGTCCTATGCAACGAGTACTGTAAGAATGTCTACCTGAAATTTTCACGTAAACAAATTTCCGTTAAATGCTTTCATATGTTTGATTATATGTACAAACTTGATAATCTTCATAAACGTATTTATATGTTTACACCTTCGGTCGTAGGCAGGTGAAAATCTGGGACCGAGGAGGTGTTTTATGTACAAATGTATTTTGTTTAGTCCAGTATATTTGATTTGATAGAGATTAATCAAACTAGATATAATTGAAATGAATGTTTGGTTATTAATACTTTATAAACATTTTGTTGTTGTTTTGGTATGTTTTATAAACATTTTGTTGTTGTTTTGGTATGTATTTTTAACATAAATATTTATAAATATACACTATGTAATGTAACGCACTGTTTAAATCGATGTTACGCAAAACCCAACGTAATAAAGGACTTGAAATTGAGTCTTAATTGTAATTAGGGAAAGCCGTTACGACAACAAATCGTTTTACCCTAAACATGAGCTTTAAGCCTTTACCAGTACACAAGGTACTCAGTTTAGATCTCCGTTAGTTTGTCGCCAGAATAAGGTTACATTTTTGTCATTTATAATACGATAATTGTTCAAATAAAAACTTAAACATTCAATTTCTGGAATTCAAAATAATAAGTACATGATATAAACTACATTATAAGTTCTATATTTCGAATTTGATTCAATACGAAATAATTTTATTTGTTTTTGTTTTCGTTTTAATAAGCACACAAAGCTAGATATATTAATACTCCGGCGCCACAAGTGGGCAAATTCCGGCGACACCAGTGGGCAATTAGTGTGTGGGTACCTAAACCCATTAATCCCTATTAACAGTGCGGCTAACAGGAAACATTCAATTATTAATTCTGACTACTTTCAAGTCAACAATCCTAAGTACTTATCCCAGATAAACACTCATTATAACAAATAAGCTCTGATTAATTCCCGACTTAACTAAATACAGCGTTATTAATATGATTCGTACACAATTTTTACTGGTTTCTTTTTGAAAAAGATCCAGTGCTCTTGTTTGTGTTTCCTAAAAACATATAATAAACCATCCAATACAGTGTTTCTGTCATTTTAGATCGTCAAACAAACACCGATTTTACTTTTCCAGACAGTTTATATAATCATTACATCAATACAGTATTTGTGAAATTGTAAGAAAAAAATCTTTTAGCGCTTATCGACACTCCATATTTACCGGAACGCTTATCGACACTCCATATTTACCGGAACGCTTATCGACACTCCATATTTACCGGAACGCTTATCGACACTCCATATTTACCGGAACGTTTATCGACACTCCATATTTACCGGACCGTTTATCGACACTCCATATTTACCGGACCGTTTATCGACACTCCATATTCACCGGAACGTTTAAAGAAATCATTTTGAAATGAAGTCCTCTAGACAGATAAAACTGATCTGGTAATTCATAAATTCAGAATTAATTTATATGTACCAATATCGCATGATTCGATGATGTACAATCGCTTCATCGTCTGTCAGAGCACCTGGATTCACCTCCAGCCTCTTATAGTGATTGATTCATGATGTTTTCCGTTCTTTGTCGTTGCTTCCGTTGCTCCTGCTATTATCTTTTCGTATCGACGTTGAGTACATTTGACGTCATTTCGTATCGAGATGGAAGAATCATTTTTGTCCTAATAAATATACAGATGGAGATAACATAGACGGAAGATTTTGTTGTTTGGCTAAAATTTTGATTTTGGTTTCCATTTACAGAAATAGAGGACACGTTTGAGTTGATTGATACAGACAGAGATGGGCGAATATCCAAACAGGAAATGGTCAAGGCTGCCTCCCTTCTAGGTCTCAACCCCACGGCAGAGGACGCAGATGTCATGATCAAAATGGCCGACTCAGATGGTAAGACGATTTATATCTTGAAGTCATTTTGTTGGGTTGGTCCCGGTACAAATGATGTACTCAGACCACGATGTTACGATGTTGGTCCTGGTGCAAATGATGTACTAAGACCACGATGTTACGATGTTAGTCCTGGTGCAAATGATGTTCTCAGACCACGATGTTACGACGTTGGTCCTGGTACAAATGATGTACTAAGACCACGATGTTACGATGTTGGTCCTGGTGCAAATGATGTACTCAGACCACGATGTTACGATGTTAGTCCTGGTGCAAATGATGTACTCAGACCACGATGTTACGACGTTGGTCCTGGTTCAAATGATGTACTCAGACCACGATGTTACGATGTTCGCCCTGGTACAAATGATGTACTCAGACCACGATGTTATGACGTTGGCCCTGGTACAAATGATGTACTCAGACCACGATGTTGGTCCTAGTACAAATAATGTACTCAGACCACGATGATACGATGTTGGGCCTGGTACAAATGATGTACTCAGACAACGATGTTACTATGTTGGCCCTGGTACAAATGATGTACTCAGACCACGATGTTGGTCCTAGTACAAATAATGTACTCAGACCACGATGATACGATGTTGGGCCTGGTACAAATGATGTACTCAGACAACGATGTTACGACGTTGGTCCTGGTACACATGATGTACTCAGACCACGATGTTACGACGTTGGACCTGGTACAAATGATGTACTCAGACCACGATGTTACGACGTTGGTCCTGGTTCAAATGATGTACTCAGACCACGATGTTACGATGTTCGCCCTGGTACAAATGATGTACTCAGACCACGATGTTGCGATGTTGGTCCTGGTACAAATGATGTACTCAGGCCACGATGTTGGTCCTGGTACAAATAATGTACTCAGACCGGTACAAATGATGTACTCAGACCACGATGTTACTGGTCCTGGTGCAAATGATGTACTCAGACCACGATGTTACGACCGATGTTACGACGTTGGTCCTGGTACAAATGATGTCCTCAGACCACGATGTTACGACGTTGGTCCTGGTTCAAATGATGTACTCAGACCACGATGTTACGATGTTGGTCCTGGTACAAATGATGTACTCAGACCACGATGTTGGTCCTGGTACAAATAATGTACTCAGACCACGATGATACGATGTTGGTCCTGGTACAAATGATGTACTCAGACCACGATGTTGGTCCTGGTACAAATAATGTACTCAGACCGGTACAAATGATGTACTCAGACCACGATGTTACGATGTTGGTCCTGGTACAAATGGTGTACTCTGACCACGATGTTACGATGTGTACGCTTCTCGATTCACAAGGACCATTTCGTTAAGTTATAATATGTCAGTAGCATTGTAAAGATTGTTGTCGGGTCGCTCACCGTGTTGAAAAGCAGAGCAGCTTGCATCATATATTGTAGGAGGTAACTATAATCTGAACTCTGATATAGCAGGGTCAAGGATGAAATTTGAGCAGACAAACTGATTTATGAAATGACTTCTTAATAAACGTACTTCAAACATATTTTGCAAAGATTTGAAATTCACCAAAGGAAATTAAAGCAAAAGCTATTGTCTGTCTTTGTTTTTTAGGGGGAGTAATTCTCGGTTTTATAATAGATTTGTTAAATACCATACTGCCAGCAAGAAGAGCAACACACATCTTCCCTGGTCGTTAAGTTTCTTTTTATTTGTTTCCTTACCTCATGGCCTCTTCTAAATATCGCAATGTTACCGGTAGATGGGTCATAGGAGGCTGGGCAGTCTAGTGGTATGACGCCGGGCTCGTGACCGAAGGGTTAACGTCACCGCACTACGTTGTATCTTTGAGCAAGATACTTTACTCCACTTGTTCCAGTCTACTCATGATCAGCTGTAAATGAGTACGTGGTTGGGCAGTACTAGAATTGTTGAATGCTAGCTGTGAGCGCCGAAATTGCAGCACTGTCTGTATGCTCCAAAGGAAGCTGAAATAGATATTGACTGGTTATAAAGGCCCTATAATCACGGATAATAATTTGTTAACCGCTTTTAGACGACCTACGAACTAGGTTGTGATAAAGCGGTATATAAGAACTTTGAATTATTATTATAATTATTATTATTATATAGTTTACCAAGCTCTGAACAGTCTCCATAGGGATACATACATTTGTCAAATTCTTTAAATAATGCAATACCCTTTGCAGAAAATCTTTAGGTTCCTGCGTTTCTTCAATGACAATTAGGAAACTTGCCTGTTTATGTCATATCCATTTTATGTTATTAGCATTTAGTTTTATGTAGTTATTGTACTTTTAATCTAGTCTCTTACTTAAAGAATCTTGATAGACGCATCACGTGACATTAAACTACACTGTTCTTTGATTATACTTTAACATATGATGAGTCAAAACTCATGAAACACGATCTACTCTTTCATTTCACAGAAGTGATGCAGTTACAACTAACACATAAGTTTATTTTATTTCATATGAAACCAAGTTGTGTTTGAAAACAATGTTGAGAAACTATGTTACAAACCTAGGGACTCACGTTTTAGTGTTTACCTTATACAGTAGTAACACAACATTGTCCCCTTTATATAAAGGTAGTCTGTGATAGACGATTCATTACTCTATGATCGTCTTTATATCAGCATTTTCTGGACAGCCAGACACATCACGATGACCATTCAACTGCATTATTGTTGGCTGGTTGCTGTTGTTGTTGTTGTTGTTGTTTGTAGGTGATGGCTACATCAACCGTACGGAATACACCTCCATGATGTCACAGAGTTACTCCTCGATAGATCAGGAGAAACAGGCCCTACAGAAGGCCTTTGAAAAGTTGGACAAGGATGGCGACGGATTTCTGTCAACAGACGAACTACGTGCAGCTCTACAATACAACTCTGATATCACGGACGACGAAATAGACATATTTTTCATGGATGCCGACAAAGATGGCGACGGGAAAATTGATTACACGGGTAAACCTTATACATTGGTTATTGGAAATCCTAAAATACTTCCAAAGCCAACATATACCTATAAATCATTTAACGTCGGTACATCTTGATTTATTACGTTAGTCACAAAGACATCTTAACTATTATGTTAATCGCTGTCAAAGTACGTTAAGATACTGTTAAAAAGGAACATTTAACAATTATAATGCACGCAAAACAATTAAAACAATCTTGGCATCTTTATTTCTGATGATTATGTAATCAAAATACACTGGTCAACAGGGTATTTAAACTTTTTTCAGCGCCAGTCGACTTTCACATTTTGTTTGCCGTTGTTAATCTCTTTTTGTAAGTAAATTAATTTCATTTTTCAGAATTCATCGACTCCACTTTGTGTGTTTCCTTGGTCTGACGAAGATGTCTTTTCTTCCGATCATATCATCTACGTTGTGGTACTGTTAAAACTGTTCAAAACAAAACATAAGAGTTCAAGTACATGTAGAATTGTTTACCAACAGCTTCATTAAGTAAATCCACATTTGACGTACTTTTATATGTGTTTGGTTATTTATTTGTGTTACATTAATGACTTGTTTACACGATGTGTAGGTGTGACATACACCAAGTAAACATATAGTAGACTGGACTAAC